CCTTGTTTTCATCTGCTTCACCAAGTTGATTTTAATCCTTAGTTTATGGTATGACCTACGATTGAGGAAACGGCCTAAGGCGCTTTTAACTTTCATTTTAAATATTTTTAATTTGTTCCTGACATTACAGCTGTGTGTAGTTTATATTAATTTTGAGGAATGTAACATGTATCCAGCATTCACCAGGTCGTTGGTTGTTTCCCTCAACCTAAACGTTAATAATATTCAGCAACAATCTCAATGTTATTGCAGCTCCTGATGAAGATGACAAAGTCCATTGAAAGCTAGAGATTAATAAAGTATAAAGCAAAGAGGACTCTTTATACTTTTTTTAATTCTCTCTAGCTTTCAATGGACTTTGCCATCATCATCAGGAGCTGCAATTACAATGATAACAGTAGCAACAAAAGTGTAAAATGAATTTAAATTGACTCAACTTACAGTAGTATGTGAGGATGTTGCTAATTGTTGTTTACGTATAGGATGAGGGAAACGTCCAGTAACATGGTGAGAGCTGGATAGATTGTACAATGGTCAAAATTATATAAAATATGACAAGAACAAGTTAAAAACAGATTAAAAATTATTTAAAAAACATTAGAGCATTACATCGTGAAGCCACTTGATGATTGCACAAATTAGTGGTCATGGAATAATGAGTGAGATGAAACCCTTTGACAGAAGGCCGAAGGATGTCAATGTCTGTGTTGAAAGATGGAACGAATTGTGGGCGTGTGCCAAACGTTGCCAAATCACTTCAGATGATGTGATTTTCAGAATTTTATGTAAGAATTTGTTAAACCGACCAGAGGCAGTTGAATAAACTATATTTTAATTAATGGGAATTTAAATTAACAATTATTAATAAATCGTGAGAAGAGAATTATTATATTTTGAGTGGAATGAAATTTACTGGTGGAATCGGCCAAAACACAGATTCTAATTATGGTTGTGAAGAGTCGAAATTTGGGGAGATATGAAAGTTCTCCAATTTTTCGCAGTTTAGCAAATATGAGTAAATGACACTCAGTTGTTTAACATGTCTTTTTGTTGATACAGTTGTTATTCATGAAGATGTGGGACATTTCCAGGAATAAACGTTTAGAAAGGTGTTTTTCTTTATCAAGAACTTTGATACTTGTGTAATTCATAGAATGCCCTGTTGTGTTAACATGAGATGCTAGAGCGCATCTTTCAGGATGAAGCCTAGCATCACTTTTGTGTGATGTAATCCTTCCTTTAAGAGATCTGGAGGTCTGACCTATGTATATTTGGTTGCAGTTGTTGCAATTGATGGAGTAGACTGTGTTGGTTAAGCCAAGCAGCGGGACTTTCTTTCATTTTTGAAAAAATGCAGTTTATAGTAACTGTTAATCAATAATGGTTATCCGAAGTGTCTGATTAACAAGATCTTATTTAGTTCACCTTCCAATATTTTGCCGAACTCTGGTGATGCAGGTAATAGTCGCACAACCCCTAATAACGGAACTGATGTAATTCCCAATAATAACATCAATCCTAACAGTACAAGCACCAACCCGGACTCCAGACCTGGTTTTGCTGTCCTGCCCTATATCAAGGAACTGACCCCTAAGCTGATCAGATTGTGCAGTCCTTTGAACTTTCGAATTGCTTGCAAATCCGTCCTCACTATAAACTGCATTTTTTCAAAAATGAAAGACAAAGTCCCGCTGCTTGGCTTAACCAACACAGTCTACTCCATCAATTGCAACAACTGCAACCAAATATACATAGGTCAGACCTCCAGATCTCTTAAAGGAAGGATTAGATCACACAAAAGTGATGCTAGGCTTCATCCTGAAAGATGCGCTCTAGCATCTCATGTTAACACAACAGGGCATTCTATGAATTACACAAGTATCAAAGTTCTTGATAAAGAAAAACACCTTTCCAAACGTTTATTCCTGGAAATGTCCCACATCTTCATGAATAACAACTGTATCAACAAAAACACAGATGTTAAACAACTGAGTGTCATTTACTCATATTTGCTAAACTGCGAAAAATTGGAGAACTTACATATCTCCCCAAATTTCGACTCTTCACAACCATAATTAGAATCTGTGTTTTGGCCGATTCCACCAGTAAACTTCATTCCACTCAAAATATAATAATTCTCTTCTCACGATTTATTAATAATTGTTAATTTAAATTCCCATTAATTAAAATATAGTTTATTCAACTGCCTCTGGTCGGTTAAACAAATTCTTACATAAAATTCTGCAAAATCACATCATCTGAAGTGATTTGGCAACGTTTGGCACACGCCCACAATTCGTTCCGTCTTTCAACACAGACATTGACATCCTTCGGCCTTCTGTCAAAGGGTTTCATCTCACTCATTATTCCATGACTAATTCCATGCACTAATTTGTGCAATCATCAAGTGGCTTCACGATGTAATGCTCTAATGTTTTTTAAATAATTTTTAATCTGTTTTTAACTTGTTCTTGTCATATTTTATATAATTTTGACCATTGTACCATCCATCCAGCTCTCACCATGTTACTGGACGTTTCCCTCATCCTAAACGTAAACAACAATTAGTAACATCCTCACATACTACTGTAAGTTGAGTCAATTTAAATTAATTTTACACTTTTGTTGCTACTGTTATCATTGTAATTGCAGCTCTTGATGATGATGGCAAAGTCCATTGAAAGCTAGAGAGAATTAAAAAAGTATAAAGAGTCCTCTTTGCTTAAATTTTGTCGAAGTACCCAACAAAAGGCGGAAGCTTTAATTTTTCACCTAACTGGTCTAGACAACAATGACCACGTCTCAAGTTATATATATACATATATTGTTCTGGTGACAATGTAGCTATACTACAAAGTCTTTTCACAGGTTATGACATTGTCATTCTTATCTAAACCAACATGCGTGACTATGTCTTCACTAAATATTTTTGTTGTATGGATGAGGGATGACAAGTGGTCTTCTGGTTGGGAAAATAGTTATACAGGGTGACTTCGAAGTTGAGTCATTTATTTTAACACTGAGTAGATCTGATCGAAGTTGAGTCATTTATTTTAACACTGAGTAGATCTGATCAAAAGAAATGTTTTTTTCCTTTACCATTCCTCTGGTAAAATTAAAGTAACAAAGTTATAGCTCTTTGGAGGTTTGAGTACCGCCCTGTCTCAATAATAATACTCGAGTATTATGTGCTCGTGTTTGGCAACAACGGATATAATCCGCCTTATCGGTCCATCGCATCGGAAACAAAAAAGCGAAAGAATTTGGAACGATGTTTTTACAATTATTCAGTTATATACAGTCAGTGTCAGTCGGTAACGCGTGAGTGAATAGTGGTGTCTGTTGCGTGGCTCAAACGAAATCAAAAATGGCACATGTTTATGCGGATCAGTTTCCCAATCGAGTGCAACCAACCCATCGTGCCTTTGTTAACGTAGTACAAAGGGCTCGTGAATCAGGTGACATGCCGGTGCTCCAAGACCGCACGATCAAATACAGGTCCGCACTGAAATACTTGTCGGGAGGATACTTTATAAAACAAGGTAACATTTTTTTTTATTTTTTTTTATTTTTACACACATATTTTGGTTTATCTTCCTTCTACAATCATTATCTGAAAATTAATGACTCAACTTCAAAGTCACCCTGTATACTGTCCTTATACATCCAGTGCGTCACTCTAGCATTGTGTTGCTTATCTTGTATCCTACCGAGCTTCTGTTTAGTAGCCTATAATAATGACACGGGTATCACGTATCTTGAAAAGTGACGTTATATTTTTTGACATTATACTGATTTTGTTTGACATTATGTAGGTTTTTAGACAAATTGTTAACTTAGCACTAGCTGATGGACGCGTTTGTAAACTCGTCTTGTAGTTGTACGTGTTGTCTAAACGTCATGAGGGTTGAGTTACCGATGTTTGGTTATGATGTGATGTAGAATCTGCTTCCGAGATAGCATACTGGAGGTAAAGGCTTAGTGAGGATTTGTGTGCTAATAATATGTGTTGATGATAATTCCATTGGATTCTTGTCTCAAATACACTTACTTGAGATTCAAAGCTAGAAATTAGTTGCGCATCCATTTTTTCTTATCCATTCTGGAAATTACATATGCAAATTTGCTGAATTTAAAAAATGAGAGATAAGAAACACTTAATTATATTCACTATACACTGTCGAATTACAAGTCATATACATGCTAACAGTAATTACACACAACGCGGGCGCGGTGGTGATTTCCCGTAATTCTCTTCAAAGTTTTTGAAAACAGAAAACGTAAAAAATCGTAATTGATAACTCTGAACATAACCTCTCTCCGAAAGGACAACATATAAATAACCCATCGGGCAGAACTAATAGATAAACATCATTGGCAGCATATGCAATAATGATTTTCTCACACAGCAAATATCATCCAGATGCGATCTTGCTATTCAACCAAATAATCAACTTTCTTCTCTGAGACTCAGAGACGAAAACTATAGACCACTCGGCTTCACAAAACATATGCAACCAACAATGCGTATAGTTGAGCCTTTCCTCCATAGATGGAGGTAACAACGATCTTAGTGAGCAAATGTGAAATGACTGTTTCCGCCCTAAAAACTACCTTGTCTGCAAGAGACATCTTATAGGTTTTTGTGACATTTTATATAGGTTTTTTACATAATACCCGTGCCGGTTTAGTGCAAGACAGAACCGTATTGTGCTTAGGCTGTCACCTTGGTAAATAACTTGATAATATAATAAATATATAATAAAATCGATTTGCACGTTACCACGCTTAATTTTGTCAACGAGGAGAGTAGAACTCCATTGTCTCATCCAGGTGCTTCATGTCTAGCTCCTTAAGCAAACAATTACGAGGAACAGAGAATCAAACGCCTTGCTGTAATCTATATAATATGTGTATATATATCTCGTTGTTTGAGTGATTTTGACTGTTATATGGCATCTAATGTGGGTCCCCTTTCTCACATAGCAAATAAATCATACCTTCGGTGAGGCATCCTGGAAGTCTACTTGGGTCACTGGTAAGACTAGATAAGCATGTAGCATAGATCCCATGTAGGACGCCGTACTTTTCAATCCAGAGGTTCTGAATTTCATCAGGGCCTGTGGGCTTCCAGATGATTAGCCTCTTGACCGCTTCTTTTACATTATTAGCTGTGATGGAAACGTCTGGCATTTCGGTTACCGATTTTGTGGAGTTTTGTATAGTATCGATCCAAGATTCTTGCTTATTGCACTTGTCACGTGTGCTCCATGCGTCATTCCAATACTTATACAAACTAGCTTATATATATATCGCAGAGGCGCTAGCATCTGCTTTGAGAAAGGAAATGTAGAACATTTTTGATTTATTGTGAACTGCCTATTGTGCTCTTTCTTCTCCGTCATTTCGGTGTACGTTCGGAGTCTTGCTCCCGTAGCCTTCACTTTTTACCTGGTCATGGTCTAACTGTCTGGATCATCCATATCTAAACCATGCTGCTTCAGTATTTCTGTAATTTTCCTATTTAGCTTGGGTGATTTCGTCCCCTTCATGTACTCCTCAATTATGTCATCTTGAGAGCTCAGGTAGTCTACATCTTTTATTGATGTTATTCGCTAAGGATGTTATTCCCGTCTGATATCTTGATTTGCTGTTTATTCAATTGCAAAGAAGTTACAGCAGCTGAGTATGAACCTGAATCCCCGGCCTGAATGGATATCTTTTATTTCTAGTTTGTAATATATTTTCACCTTTTGAGTTGTGAAGCTTAGACCTCTGCCAAGTAGGCCTCCGAATGCTTCATTACCAGCCGCCCCTACAGGAGAACTGACGCTGTCGACGTACCGCACCTAACTAATTTTGGAAGTAAATGGTTGTGGTTTGGGCGCCACCTAGTTTCAATCAGTAGGAAAAGAAATGAAAAATAGCCAATGTTGAGTCTCTGGTGCTAAAGGAGATACAAGCTCCAAGGTACTACCCCTCCCCCAGCTTAATGGTTTCCAGTAAAACTAAAATAAAAAAACACCTAGCCAGGTGCTTGGGAACTGTTATAAATTATTATTCTAAATAAAAAACACGTAATAATTTACTTTATCAAGATATAGTTAACTTTTAGTCCATAAACCATAAAAAGAAACTAACACCTGTTCTAAAAAGCTACTTTACACAAACCCCACAAGGGTTATTATTATTATTTATTATTAGTATTATTATTACATATATATATATATATATATATATATATATATATATATATTGATATTATTCTGACATACTATTCGTCATTGTCTGTCAGAGCGGTCCGTAGGACCTTTGCTCTTGGTTGAAGTCTTGTAAGTCAGTAGGTCTGTCAGGTCTGGTTGCCCAGATACCAAACAAAGTCAGGGAGAAAGAAGGGAAGAAGAAAGGAAGGAAGGAAGGAGGGAGAGCAAAGAAAAAAGAAGTGAATCAATTTGAGGGGTGCCTTGGCATTGCTAGTTAGCATTCGGCAATTTTAAATTGATCTTAAAATTAATTTTGGGATTGGTTGTTGAAGAAAAATTATAATTTTGGTTGGACCTAAAGTCGCACGATTTAATTTTGTTCACAGTGCGAGTCGCGGCCTTGTGTGCTTGCGAACTTGCTCGACTGTGTAGTCTACTGACTCGCGCAACAAAGGGTTGTTATGCGATTCTGCTTGACTGTAACGTAGCTGCGCTTGTTGTTTGATGTAGTCCCTTAGGTAAGGGATGTCAAGGTCTCTGTGAAGGGTCTCGTTGGAAACATACCATGGGGCGTTAGTGATTGTACGCAAGGTTCTGTTCTGCAAAACCTGCACGCTACGCAAATGCGTTTTGGCGAGAAAACACCAAGCCGCACTTGCGTAAGTGATCGCTGGTCTAATAACCATCTTGCATAGTCGAACTTTGTTGATCAAACTTAATTTTGATGTTCTACATAGCATAGGGTAGAGTTGCCGAAACGAGACTTGGAATTTAGTTTTTAACGCTTCAGTGTGCTTCTGCCAGGTTATCCCCTTGTCAAGAGTGATACCGAGATACTTAGCAGAGCTTTCCCATGGTACCTGAGCGCCATTCACTGAAACCTCAGACGGGGGGCCGCTACGTTTTTTAGTACAATAGATTGCCTGCGTTTTCGAATGATTAATTTCGATCAGCCACCGATTCGCCCATTCCAATACCTCGTCCACTGCACTTTGCAGCCTGTCGTGAAATAGATCCCCAGAGCACGACTGGGCCACCAGGGCAGTGTCATCAGCATAGAGATAGGTTTCACAGCTGCTGGGGCAAGGGACGTCATGAATAAAAAGTGAATAAAGGACTGGTCCAAGAACCGAACCCTGAGGGACACCGGCTTTGATGGGCCGTGTTGTCGACAGAACGTTATTAATTTTGATCCGAAATTTCCTACCCTCGAGAAAGGATTTCAAAAGTTTTAGGAGCCAGAAGGGGAAGCCCTTATGGATGAATTTGTAGAGAAGGCCCTTGTGCCACACCTTGTCAAATGCCTTTGAGACATCCAGTAGCAAGATGCCAGTACTTTCATTACGGGTGAAGCCGCTGGTTACTCGTTCAACAAGCCTTATGGCCTGTAGCTCCGTACTATGCTCAGACCGAAAGCCAAATTTCACGTCAGGAATCACATTGTGGTCTGCCGAGAAATTTTCAAGGTGACGTAGAATCACCTTTTCAGCGAGCTTAGAAGGAGCTGACAGTAGACTAATGGGGCGGTAATCCTGAGGGAATATTGAACCCACCTTCTTTGGAATCATTATGACATCAGCGGTCTTCCACGCCGTTGGGAAGTGCTGGGTCCTTAGCATGGCATTGATTATTGCCACGAGATAAGTTAAGGACTTCCGCGAAAGTAGCTTCAGCGCCTTATTAGTGATTCGATCCTCTCCAGGTGCTTTACGCACCTTGAGGTCTTTAATATGACCTTGGAGCTCTGCTGGTGTGCAATGCGGAATCTCAGGAGATCTCGCTGATGTGTCGTGCAGCTCTTCAATTGAGGAATCATCGGAAGATTCCTCTGAGGAAAAATCACTAAGGGAGGCACTACTGCCACTGACGCCGTTGGCCCTAAAATATCTCCTGACGGATCTCACAATATGTTGCTCCTCGTCGAGGTCATTATCAAGGTCATAGTTGGGAGAGAACTGACTTTCCATTGCATCAGCGAAAACCTCGACCTTTTCCTCTGTCCTACAGACTATGCCCCTAGGACCGTGGATGTGCGGGAGTTGTTCTCGCTTTCCGTTTCTGAGTGACTTTGCAACTTTCCAGAGAGGAATACTTGGGTCAAGCATCCCCGACAGAAAGTCGCTCCATTGCTCATTACGGAATTCATGAAGAGCGTTTCTCACTTCATGAACAAGATTAGTTGCTCTGTGAATGTCATCTGGGTGACAAGACCTCTTCGCTTGCTTAACTGCAGCTCTTTTGTCAGAAATTTTCTGACGAATGTCTGCAGGGAGAAGCGGTCTGCCGTGTCGTCGTACTGGTAGTACAGCTGCACGCTGCAGAGCTTGCTGAATGGAACTTGTCCACTCCGCTTGAGCAGCATCTATATCGTTCTCATCATCTATGATCGGGATATTGGGGAACTCTCTAAGGAGCGACTTGTTTAGCTCCCAATCAAACCTTTTCCTTGGAAGAGTTTCCCCTTCCAAGGTTTGCTCGTTACCCACTTCCAGTACTATAGGAAGATGATCGCTCGAAATGTCATACATGATTCGAGAAGTGACACTGAATCTACAGTTTCTAGATATCGCGAAGTCAATGACATCTGGTGCCCGAAGGTGATTAAATGGGTGGTGAGTCGACTCCTCAGTGATGTGTATGAGGTAGCCGTTTCGTATCACATGGTTGTAAAGTCGAATCCCACTGGTGGAATTTAACCTAGAGTGCCATGCTCGATGTTTACAGTTAAAGTCCCCTGCTACAATAAGCGGATCCGAGCAGTCAAACAGGACTTCCAGATCCGTCTCTTGCAGCCTGGCACCACATCTGACATAAACCGATGTGATTTTCGACGAGATACCTCCCGTCATATTCACTACCACCGAAGTTGCCTCGATGCTCTGCATCTCAGCGTTTGTGCTTCTGTAATAGTCAATACCACGTTTTATTAGCACTGCCAAACCGCCACCCCGTCCATTTAATCTATCAGCGCGGATAACATCATAATTCGGGAAAGCTAGACGATCTCCCGGATTAAGCAATGTTTCCTGCAGCAGAGCTACATCGACGTTCTTATCCAAAAGAGCTTGATGAAATTCCAGTTTTTTGGGGACATCCCTAAGACCCAAACAATTCCAGAAAAGAATTTTGATGAATTCAGGCTGTCTGCTATTGTACCTAGTCATTTAGCGGAAAGATCGCCTGCAATGCCTTAGTGGCGCTTATCAGGGGACTAATAATCTGCTGTAGGGACCTGAGCGCTGTAGCTAGATCCACATTTTAAGTAGTCGTAGACGAGCTCGAAACAGCAGGGGCAGTTGAGGAGTCATCTCTTGCTGCATCCGCGTAGGACTTTGCTCGCCTTTGTGCGATGACTTATAGATTTCTCCTAGGAGTAAATCTGCAGGTCGGACTATTTGCCGGATGGTCCCCCCCACAGTTCGCACATCTGCGAACCTCTGGTCCTGTTTGAGGGCACATATGTGTCATGTGGTCTTGGGCACATTTTAGACACTTTGGCGGCGCAGTGCAATACGACTGTGCGTGTCCGTACTTCTGGCAGCGGTGACACTGCCCAATGAGTCGAGAGTTCTTCTGAACTTCGACTCTGATAGAGAGCCCCAGCAATTCGTGCTCGTTGAACACTTGCTGTGACTTCGCCGTCTTAGGCAGGATCACCACCATCAAGGGCATGGGCACGCCGCCGTTGCGCTTTAGGCGAATGGTGTGAAAGGGAGCGTAACCGTTCTGTTCTAGCTCACCTTTGACCTCCTGTTCGGTGGTTGATGCTGGGATACCTCTGATAACCGCATGGATATTGCGAACAGTGGGCAAAGGGAAAGTGTGATGAGGAATGTTTTCCTCTTTGAAAAGACGGATTATCCTGCGATAATCGTCTTCGGTTTTGGGGATGATACGTATCCCAGCGTCAA